TACCACAGGGAGTTTATCCACAGAAGCACTGCTGAAACTCTTCCCCAGTCCGTTTTTAAATGCACTGTACTGCTTTGAGAATTTCAGTTTCTAAGGCTTAACTAGTTTTCCTAGACTTCTCTGAGTTCTCTATAACTTCTCAATACATAAAATGCTCATAGAAGACTTTCCAGATCTATCTCCATGGTTTCCACTGTTTCCACCTACTTTCTCCTCCATGGCGTCAGGCTTTGTTCACACACTTTAGAGCTTCATGACGCCTTATATTTGTGATTTTCATTAATCTGAGGTTTGCTACTGAATGGCTCATTTCACTGGCAACCTGCTTATAGCTACCTCCTTCCCTCATTATGGTCTTTACACCTGACTAAAATGGGAACCAGATCCTCACATGGTGTCTAGTTTACTGTTGAGGTGGGCAAAGTTACACTTAATGATATTCTGATGCTAGAAGACAAGATGAATCTCTCATGTTCGCATTTGGTTTTATTACCTTCAGAAGAGGATGCAGGAACAAAAGCACTGCCCAAATTGTGTGGATTAGAGTAAAATGCATACATTTTTCTGAAGGCATTGATCATCAGTTTAATGATTAAAAACACATTTAGCAAAAACGCTACTATAAAGCACATTAGACTACATTCCTGACTTCCTGAACAAACAAGTTAAAAATGCTGTGCCATCAGTTGCTCAGCTGAGCCTTGTGGAAAGCCTGTCAACAGGCTACCATACAGCACCCAGAATGATTTAAATGTATAAACTATGCTGTTTGAAAAAGTCATATTCCAGAATGATGCTTTACCCCTTGGAAGCAAAAGGATAAAAGCAGTGTGAAGAGAAATAAATGTTATGTCCGTATAATGGAGAATTTACATTTAACACTAGGTATTTTCAAGCAGTTTCAGCACAACAGAAAGTCACCAGAAATAACATGTGTCAGGACACCAAAGCCTTTTAAAAACTATTAGAAAAATAGTTTCTTGTTGCATTTTAGACCATGTTCAACAAGGCACTCTGAATAGAGCTCATAGTTATGAAGAACTGTCATAACGGTTTCCAAAATAGTCCACATTGAGTTACAAATAAGCAGAGGAGGTAGAATTGGGTGGAAGGAAGAATCTGGATTTCATTACCCCAGTGAGATACACTTCCAGAGGTTGAAGAACCAACTGAGTTTTTACAAAGCTGAGTTTCAGACTATCACGCTTCATCCCCTGGCAGATATTACTGCAGGCAGAGAAGAGAGAGTGTCATCAGCATTGAGAACATCTCATAATTACAGAAAAAGAGGAACATTTGTAATTTTCATGATAACTCAAGGACAGACCGAATCCTGAAAGACATCAACGACTTCCTGAGAAGTACCAAGAACCTTCTTTCACTCTGTGGCTTTAAAAAAATTATCTACATTTTTTGTGTTTCTATCTTTCTAAGGGAAGTACAGAGGACACAAGTTGAAAGAACACATATTTTCCTGACAAAAATAACATAAAAATCCCACATTGAATCTAAGTTCTTGATATGAAATATCCTGGGTTTAATCTTCGTATATAGCAAAGGCATAAGCTCCTCCCACCATCCCCAATGATTAAATGCCCAACTCCAAATCTCACCCTAATTTCTGCGGCATCAGAAGTATTGGGAGAAGATGTTTTTGACAACCATGCTTGTAAAATAAGATTTGGTCGTAACAAATCGATATCAGTAAGTTATATTAACACCAAAGTACTTGAAATATCTCTCTACTTCAGAGAAAATCCATTTCCCATTTAATAAATTGCAATTACTTCACACCAGCAGAGATAGAGGGAAAACTAAAGACAGATTTCTTTTTTTTACATAAAGTACATTATAAGATCACACAATCAATGATATGCAGCTCCCTGAGTATGATCCAGTGGATGTGCATTAAAATTTAAAGAGGGCAGTGAAGGGGCACACTTACAAAGATAAAGTCACCCCCACGGCCTTAAACACTCTGACCAAAGAGCATAAGGGTAAGTAAGGAAATCTGTTAGAAAATGTGTTAAAGGAGTGATGATAGAGAGGTGATAAAAACTCCAAGAGCATCAGATATAAAGATTGACCCTTCCTGGACACCCAAATGAGGGAAAATGGAAAGTGACCAGAATTATATAAGAACATCTGTGGCAGAACCCATAAGAAAACAAGGCTGGGACTTTTAGACTTGCTTTGAAATATATAAATGCCTTATTCCTGTTCAGTTTAATTAGGTGACTGACTCCCTCTCTGCTGCTTCAAAATCCCAGCCTCGGAATACACTCAGTCCTGATTGGTTCCATGCCCAAAGTGTTGGCAGCAGATTAGAAGGTTTTTCAGGAGTTGTTTTGTTAAATATCAGTGAATTATGTAACAATTATAGCTAATAAATGTCCAATTTAAAAAAGCCAGAATGTGTGGGAGATGGAAAATGTTTTCTAAAATATAGTGTATCCACTAAAGACAACCTTCACCACTGTGGTTTTCAGCTTACAGGTGCTTTAGGATATCTCAAGACTTCCTTGAAATGAAATTAACTGCAAATTAATTCCAAGGAGCCAGGCACAGACTAGTCACAAGTCATGCAGCCCTCTTCACAGGAAGAAGCCGTCACCAGCCAAGGGACAGAACAGTTCCTCCCATCCTAAAAAAGTTAAAGAAAAATGAAAAGGAAGTCATTGCCCCGGGACCACCAGACAGCTGTAGGAACTTCATACCAGTAACACAAGCTTATCTGAAGGAACAGGGCACTGACCTCCTTTTCCAGACTAATTCTGTGATTAAGATGTCCTCCAACCAGTTCTTTGGGGTGCAAGGTGTTTAGGGTAGAGAGAGACATAGTTTTTTTTTCCCCCGTAAACGGGAACAGAGCAGGAAGCAGAGAAACCCAGCTTTCCGAGGAGGCTTTTCTTTCAAGTTAGGATCATGCTGATCCCAGCCTATCTGTCATTTGTAGGGGGAAATGGACCATCCAGCCACCTACCGCACACTGTAGATGCTTATCTTTTCCTACTGACTAATGAGGACCTCCATAGCATGCAAGGTCCTACCTGAAGTATTGGGCTTGAAAGTCTGAAATTAAAAACCAGCTCATCCAGGCTCATGTTTCCTTCTCAGTCTTCGCTGCTCATTCACTAGTAACAGCCTGCTGGGGATTAGTACGACTTTTACCTTGAATTATTTGCTGTCTCAGCTCACTCTCTGTGATGATGTTCCCATTATGCTCTCTGAACTTACTTCTTTTAAGGACATTCACTCGAGATTAAGGACTTCCTCTTCCCCATCTTTCTTCCTCATCCATTTTGTCTATTAAAATGTGTGAAGTGACAGGAATCAAGAGAACAAACTAGGAGAGAAAAGTTCTTGTATTGTATTCTGTTTGGAAAATGGTCGATCTAAATAAACGTCCTCCCATTCTAAAAAAATAGTTTCAAAAGCTATGTGAGATATTATCTTCACAAGCCACTTCAGTGTCAGTAATGGGTAAACAAATGCTCTTTTCCTGGCACTGCTCTTCTCACCAGTGACAAAGTGCGCCAGCTGACATACAACAGTAGAGATTACATCCTTTCACAATATCAACGAATGAAAAGGATAATTACATTGAATGAAAAAAAACCCTGAACAAACACAAAAACAAAACCAAAGGAGTCCTAAAATACTTCATAGTACTTGAAGGAACTACCAAGGAGGCATCAAGAAATGATGTGACAGGAATTTGAGCTCTGTGATACTGAACAATCAATTTTTTAGTATTTTCACTCATCCCTCTCCCTTGACGTCATGATAGTTTTTTTAAGTAACAAGTTGTGAGATAATGCAGTAGTATCTGGGAATTAATTTCTTCCAGCTGAGCCACACAGAACTGGTGCTCAGCTCCTTCCTCTGACTGCAGGATGAATTCTCTGAGGCCATTTTCTGACAACAGCAGAATTCTGGATTTTTTGACTTCATCTTACAAATTTTAAAAAATCATTAAATTAAAATACATCTCCCCAGGTTCATATTTTTCTAGACCTAAGTTTGAGCATTTAAATACAAAAATCCCACCTCTCCTTGGTCCTAAGAACCTTAAAAAAGGACAAATGTAATTCCTCTTTAGGATAAGTCAAATTCAGAGAAGCAGAACTTAGACATGCTAAAGGTCTCATTATCTAAAAAGAAAGCTAATGTGATGGTGTAGAAATTTTCTGCACTTCATGCAAATAAAGACAAAAATAACTATCAAGAGGTTAAAGGTTTAAACGAGGATTCAGTATATTGCTGCTCCGCTGCCAATGCTGTCAAAGGCTTCCAGTGCAGCTTTATACAAGTCACTTTCTCTAAGCGTTAGTTGCCATTTTCCTTTTCAAAGAAGAAACAGTTTCGCTTCTCATCATTCATCTGTCACATCTATTTAGTTTGTAGTGTTTTGAGAACAGGGGTTCTGTATACAGAACAGGACAGTGATTTTTTGAAGTCTTTTGTCACTGCTGTGCTATATAATTGTTTAGTCCATATGCACTAGCTTAAAATGACTTGGTGATATTTTTTTTTTCTTAGACATATCATAGAGTTTGCAGTTTCACACTCTGCCAGTGTTTACAGACTAAGTGTGTGTGTGTGTGTAGTTTCCGTTTAAAGTTGAAGAATCAGTCAGAAGTGAGAAAATGCCAGAATTGAGGTTGTCTCATTTGTTGTCCCTGTGTTCATTTACATTACAGTATTTATGTCATCCTCAGGAAGATTTCTAGGGTCCAGCAGTCCTATTTATTAATAAAACACTGCTAGTTTCAAATGCCATTTGGGAACAAAAAATAGACCTTTTGAAATAAAAACGGGAAGACAAAGAGAAGGAACAGATTTCCGGTGCTTGAAGCATCTCAGGTCTCCTCTGGGATGTGGAAAGCAGGATGGGAAGTGTCAAGAAATTGTACAGGTAACATCAGTTCTGCTTGTAATAAATAGGACATACAAGAGAGGTATGTGATGCAGAAGAAGGAGAAGGGCTGTTGCCAGACGTGTGACCTCCAGCCATCATCATCTTCTGCTGGACAGGTGCATTCTGCTGCAGCGGCATCACATTTAGTGTTGCCTGAAACCTAATCTGGTGGCTGCTCTGGAGTGCTTCTGCCTCTGTGGGTTTATCACTCTCCGACTTAGCTTTTGACAAGAAATTCTCCTCTGGGCCACGGAAGTCCTGTTGTCAAAAACATCATTCAGATGAATGTGTTTCCATAAAAAGTTGCAGTTTTGAGGAATTGGTATTTTCTGATAAAATAAAGAAACAAGAAATAAGTTTTTGTCAAAAGGAATTCCCATGTACCTCCCTTTTTTATTTTTCCTACAGAGATGACAGCCTTACACAATGTATAGATAGAGGAGGGCCTGTAGAGTAAGCAGCTATTCATGATTTTGCTTTTTCTTCATTCTGCAGTTTGCAGTCCAAAGCTTTGTTTGTTTTCCACTATTCAAACTTTACTCTAAAGCCAGACTCATTAATTTCTTCATGTGCTTTTTATATAGTTCATGAAAGCACTTGACACACAGGAATTTATTTTTTCTGCACTGTGCTGACAGAGAGTTGAAACAGAGGGATTAAGGTCAAAAGTGCCATTCACGTTGGGTGCTCGATCTGATATCCTGAAAACCGGATCTCGTAGGCTACTCATTGTTATGCATGCCTTTTTGTGCTTGCAGATCCCTCCCTCCTGATTGCAGGTGAAGTGGTCACAGTCAGGACTTTCCAGCTTAGACCCCACCTTCGTCATCCAGCCGACAAGGAGCACAGTTAAGGGCCATCCATGGAAGGTACTTAGTTTACAGGAGGGACAGAGAGGTGGTCGCCAAGACAGAGGTTACCTGAGTGGCCTGAGGCCACTGTCCCGTAGCCTCCTTCCCTGCTTGGCACTAATTCTTCTGCAGGGCACAGCCCTTTTGCAGCGGTGTGTGAAGACTTGCTGTGATCCCCCTGCCAGGGGACTTTCAAAGGCTGCATCTACCACATTTCCATCTCCTCCCTCCTGACAGTTGTCAAAGTGAAATTATGTAAGCATATTGTAATTTAGTCAACCTTGCCTTTGCTTTCATGAAAAAGGTGCAAAACACTGCTCTTTCCTGTGGAATCTCTATTTTGCTTAATTTAAAAAGTTTTTGCCTCTAAGCACTAAAGGTTCGCAGCCAAGCAGCTACAAGAATTACAATTTTTAGCATGAGCAAAAGAATATATTTCGTTAGTTGGGGGTTTTTTCTCCCCTGAAGCAGCAAACTCATTTTTCCTAGAAATGCCTGAAAACAAAATTATTTTATTTAAGTCTACTTAATATACAGAAAAAATGTACCAAAACAACCAAAGTTTAGTAAAGTTTTATACCAACGTAGATAAGATGTTAAGATAGGACGTACCGGGGAAAGATTTCTTGTGGCTGTAACCAATAAAACTTGAGAGCAGAGGGACGTGGGATGGAAGGAAAAAAGACTGTCACCAAAGTGTCGTTGATTTGTTACTTCAAAGCCTTTCATGCACACCTATTAAACAGCTGCACTCCTATGCTACTTCTGTGATGTGCTTCCAGAGTGGCGCCAGCTAATCATAATTACACAACGTCATTTCCCCCACTTCTCTCACCTTGCCGATGCTCTGAATACAGAGAGCACACCCTTTGCCAGCCACAGAGGACCTGAAAATCATATCCTCACCTGCCTTCTGTGTTTGGCACCGTGGTCAGCTAATGGCTCTCCTCCGTGCTCCTGTAATTGCACCTTTCCAGATTAACCACATGTCTTTCAGATCTGGAAGGATGGGTGTGTAGGTAGAAGGCACGTTGGTTTCTCTCTACCTGCTAATACTAACTGTCTCCCTAAATTGTTTCTACAATTTCGTTTTATCTATGGGCCACACAACAGTTGCATTGCGGGATATCAAACTTCTCTTTCTTGTAGATAAGAAAAACATAGATGTTAAGTCCCTCTTGACTGCATTTATAATGTTGAATAGTTTCTCCTTTCGAGACACGGATAACCTTTTCTGCTTCCTGTTAGTAATTTCTTGTTTCCCCCCTTATCCTTTAAATGGAAACACAAGTCTGCCATTTAATAAAACCCCAGTAATGATCCTGCTTTAAAGGACAAGGGCTAATCACTTGCTGCTTAACATTCCAGACACATGACAGTGGAGGAGAATAAATCAGTTAAACAGCAAGATGCAGCACAACTAATTTTCATGTAAAAGGGGGTGATTGCCTTTTTTTTTTAACCATTGTGATTTTTTTTAAGCTGTTAAAGCCCAAACATTCTCGTCTATCAGTTTATGAATTATTAATAAAAAAAGAGAGAAAAGAGGCTTTCTTTTTCTAAATATCATCTGCTAAACCACCACAGACTGAAGTGCCTCACACTGATTCCTGATTTACATAGTCCCAGTTGGAAGTTAATGAAGACTGCTGAGCCACCTTTCAACATGCAGATAAACCTTCATGTATTTAAAAGCAGGGAATATGTGCTTGTTGCTGGCAAATTATTCATCTAAGATCTGAAGTTTCTGACACCGCCTGCGTCAGATAAACTGTCACCCAAATTGCAAACTAATTAGTGATTCAAACATTTTCGAGCTGATTGATGACAGAATAATTTACGCTTGTTTCTCAGTTTCCAGCTGGCATAGGCTGCTGACTGGAGCCCTAATTAACGCTAGTACATCAGTCATGTTCTGCCAAGGCAGCACATACAATTAAAAGGCAGTTTAAATGGAATATCACATTAAAAAGGCTGGTAGATGCAAATGTGAGGAAACAGCACTTTAGGATAAAATGACAACAGAACCCCACAAACCAAAACAGAATGGAACAGGATTTTTTTTTTTTTAATGGAGAACTAAATTTTGTTCCACATAGGCTATTTAGCAAAATAAAACAAGTGCGGAGGCAAAACATGCACACTAAATTCTTCATTATCATTATTCTAACAAGTTTTAACTTGATACTTTTCTCTTAATATTTGTTAGAAAATTGATGTATACTTGCATTTTGGATTTCAGGCATTTAAAAATGAAATAGAGGGCATCAGTGATAGCTGTGAAGGTGTTTACCGAGATAGTAGAAGACAAAACAGAAATATCAATATGTGTACTTGTGAGGAGCGTATACTGGAGCAGCCTTCAAAATTAGTTTTAAATAACAAAAATTAAAACCCAAAACTCACTGAAGTCAAGAGAAAGCTGGTCATCAGATGTGTAGGAGAGTACTGCAAATATCCAGATACATATGATCCTTCTTATCAGGTAGAACTGCTACATTTTGAAAACAGCAGTACTATATGGTAAATGTGCAGTGTTTTCTAGTGGCACTCCCCTGATCAAGTCATAAAATACTTGGAGGAAAAACAGTTATCATATGGGTTTTATAAATGATCTCTATTTCTGTGAGTACAAATACAACCTGTGACCTGATTCTGTATCAGGCACGTATTGCAGCCTGCAACTACGGATAGTCTTCTGCAGCGCTTCTGTCAGGCGGCTATTTTACTTATTAGGCCTATTTTATTGTATCCATATTATAACCATGATATCTGTATATCAGTAGCTCTCTAGCAGTCAGGTAGGAGAAAATGCATTTTGTCAGCTCAGTAATGAGAAATGAGGATAGTTGTAACCCATGTTCTCATTTACATTTGAACTACAAGAGTGCTGGCCGTTTAAAACTGATGATCAAGCTAAGGACGAAAACAGTCCTCCTTGGCTCAACTCACAAAACGTGTTAAGCCTGCAGTGCCAGACCCCTGTTGCAATGTATGCTGCATATTTGATGACACTGGTTTATCTTACTCAATGTGACCTCTGTGGGGGGAAAAGTTTTCATGAATATAAACAGCCCTGGGGTTCGTACCTTGTCTGCTAAGGTGTTTTTGAGATTATCTATAGCACATGACAGATGAGCCCTTGACTCTTACAGCACTCGAGCACAGAACAAAGAGAAGTCACTGTAGTAACCGCAAACAGACCTCGAGATGTGCGAAAGCACTCCAATTTGTTTCTAGGAGCACAGCAGACTGAAAGCTCACATCACTCAGTGCAGTCACACTTTGCTGTCAAATGTCATTTTGCAATGCCATATATTTGCACCTTTAAAAATTTTGGATAAGTAATAATTTACATTAGTATGGTGACAAGGGGTTCATACATTGGCTTTGACAGCTGAGCTATTTTAAGGAGCTTTACAAATCAGTGAATTGGAGATGAGGGGTGAAACTCACCTTAGACATAAATAAGCCCAAGTTTTCTGACTTTGCTAGAGTTCAGCAAGATTTTTGCAGCGAGGCATGGCGAAGGCCACATGCTGCTGACCCTGTTGTTAGCCATGAGGCAAGAACCACCAGAAAACCTTGGCTTAGGTTTTAGACACCACGTCACGTAGCTTCTGCCGGCTTGACTCAGGTGTCTGACGCTGAGCTCACCAGTAAGCACTGAGACACCCTCTAAGTACCCAGGGACAGTGAAATCCCAATGGGCACAGCAGATGGGATGCCCAGCAGCTGACAGAAGATGCAAGGTGGGGGAGCATCAGAAAAGGGAGTGTGGGGAGGATTAGGCAACAGCTGAGCAACAGTTGTCAGAATTGTTATATAGGATTTAGGGACGGACATTTTCACACTCCAACTTCCACTCCAATCTCCTCTTTTTAAATCTGTTTTTCACAGCTTGATGCACAACAAAAATATTTTCTCCTCAGCTATAGAACGTGGTTCAGGAAACGTGGTTCAGGACAACAGGATTATGCTCTACTTTCTAAACAAGACTTCAGAAACACTAGTCTATCAGCAAAGCTACCAGTAAGAAAGAGAAACACAAAAGAGTTTTTTAATTGAAATATCATGTTGATGAAATAGGACAAATTAATTGCATTTTGTGCTTTCAGTAACAAAGCATATCCTGCACAGTGGAGGGCAGATTTTGGCTTTTGTCACAAGGTCATTCTTACAGCTGTCATAAGAAAGATTTTCAATCTATAGTCAGCAATCCTGTACATAGAGTGCTGGAGAGTAAAGTCAAAGCTTGTGGGTTAAACGGGTGGAGCAGAGAATCTTTCTGTTACCGCTTTCTCCTCCTGTTTCCATGTGGTTGCTGATCACGTCAGTGACTTGTTATGTCTCCCAAGAGAGAAGCAGTTCTATAAGAGGAGGAATTCTGAATTCCCTATGGAAACTCAAATTTCTAACGTGCAATGTAAATACAGCCAGTGCTAGCCAGTTTGTGTTTATAACATATTAACCAAGTGCAGTATCACCTCCCCAGTGGGGAACCCAGAAAAGTCTGAGTGCTCAGACTCTTATGAGCTTTCTCTAAAGCTCTCTATCTAATGCTGAACACATGCAAATCTTTCCAATATGAAATATGACTTCTTCCCTTTCAAACGTTTTCCCCTCAGGTTTCCTAATGTGAAGGTTTGCTTTCTTTGATGAGAATAGAGCCTACACAATTAAACATGTTTCTAACACAATTTACTTCTGTAACCCAAGGGATAGGAAAGCACTCAGGAAAACAGGTTAGGAGGGCTATTTAAGGGGTTTGGTTTTTTAAGAGATTTTTTTAATATTTTCTAGGTTTAGAAGGAAATTTTAGCCAATGCCAGAAGAGATTAAATAAAGGCAATACTGTGGGAATGGAAATAAAAGCAGTGTTGCACTGTCAAACCGTGCACCTTGGAGAGCCAATTTCAGTTCATTGTTTTGCCACAGACTTATGTGACCTTTGGGAAGTTACTTAATGCAAAGGCAC